TCACACCTTTCTCTTCCATTTGTGATATAACCAATGGTATATTTGCAATTAAAATATTAACCACCCTTCCTAAACTTCCACCAACTTGTCAACAATAAGCTAAAGTCATCCTCATCTTAATTATTAGTAATCCATTTTGGTCAAAATTCATTGTATATTTCTCCTCTGAGCTCTAACTTTACGCTGGGTTTGAAAAGATATATACTACTAGTAGATCGGAAAAGAAAGGGAGGCCAAATAAGAATGAGGAAAGCGAAAATATATTGTAAAAATTATTAGTATTTACTTCTTTACATTATTTGGTTGGAGAAGAAGGTTTATTTCTTCTTATTGTATCTCAGGAGCTACATATAGAGATGTTTTGTTTTTCTATTTTCTTTCTTTTGCCGATTAGTTGCTATAGTAGAATACTTACCAGTATCTATAAATTAAATCACCAATTAAAATCCACAATCATTCTGTTCTGAATTGAGATTTCTTGGCCTACATGCTTTCATATTATTAAAGTTTTTTATACTTAGATGAAGATGTTTCATGGAATTAAATGAAGAGGTTTTCTCACATTTTGTCGTTATGGTTTGACAAAATAAAAGAATAAAGACCTTAGCCCAATCATAGAAGTTAAAAGAAAAATTATAAAAATTAAACTGGACAATGAGAAGCCGTTCAATGCCCACATCGGCCGAATAGCGATACCTCTTGACTTAATTTATTCGGAAGTTTGCTTGAAAGCTACAACTAAAAGCAACCTAATCGGCTTTCCTTTGGTGTCATAATATCTTTTAATTAGAGAAACTACTTGACAAGTAGTGAAAATGTGGTGGGACCGATCCTCACCCGATATATTGAGATAAAAACGTAAAAAATTCACGAATTATTTTGTCGTCCGCATTTAACTTGTACATATTTTAAAAAAAAGTTTAATTAGTATCGAGAGTACAAGCAACTTAAGACGAGTTGTTTCTTCTCTGCTTTTACCTCTCCTCCTCCCCCACCTCTTCTTCCTCCTTTTTTGTCTTTTCTTTTTCTTCTCAATTATTTATATAATGTTCTTGAACTGATTTTAAGATGATTTATGGTATTTTCGAGTAGTGAACTGTTGTATCACTCCTTTCTTTGCTACTGTTAAATGCTAAAGGCAAACAATTATTGTTGTATGGATTCAAATTTGGACGACCAAGACCATTGACGAATACGACAAACGACGAGATCCTCTAGCTCAACGTCATGTGGAGGACGACAAACAAACGAACAGAGACTGCACGACTTTTACAGTAGTGTAGGCCCAATAGGGGACATTAAGAATATTCTTTCGAATATTCCCTATGATATGTCTTTTAGGGCCTAGAAGGGGTTTGTCCCTTATATATAGCGGGAAACAAACCTTGTAAGGGGGACTTTTTCTGCTTTTCTAGCTAAGAACACTTACTGTAATATTTTTCTACATAAACAATGGGCTCTTAACGTTCGAGTACTCATCCTCACAAGATCAAGAAATATCATCCATTATATTCATCTTTTATAACTTTGGTTCTAGAGTTTATTATACTTAGCTAAGATTTACCCCTTCATTTTCTTTAATTGATTTATTCAAAAAGGTTCCAATATCTTTTGAGTCAAACAATTTGGTGCTGTCTGTGGGGATTTCTATAGCTGAGATTTAGTTTCGTCTAGATCCTTGAAAGGGATAATCGCATCTTCTTAGCCTCGCAAAGGCCAACAATGGCAGGAAATGGGGAAGCAAGATTAAAGACAATAGTAGGTGTCACGAACAACCTTCTAGATTCCATCAACGAAGCCGTTAGGGAAATGCANGCAATGCCAAGCGCTACACCTGAGGGAGATACCTCACCCCCCGCACGAAAGCGTGACTGTCTCACGCGAGAGGGAAACCTCAACATCCGCAGCCGGAGAAGCACCACCGGCTGTGAAAAGGCTATTAGAAGAGTGGTTTACAAACACCTTGAGCAACTTACTCGACAAACCCGCTCAAAGGGATATCGGAGGCACAATACACGTAGAAACTACAACTGACGCCGATGAGCCAGAAACTCCATGCACAAGTAACACTCATACTGTCATTGATGCAGGTAACGATGCACTTACGGCCATCTTAAAGAAAATGGAAGAAATGGAAAATGAGAACAAAACGCTCCTTGATCAGATGAAGGAGCATCAGGAAAGGGTCGATAAAATACCTAGCGCTCCGAAGTTGCTACCAAAATGTGACGTAGGCCGATTCGTCGATGATATTAGGCTAGTTTTATGTCATTTGACGATTGTTTTGCCCCATTTTGATTATGTTTCAATGCTCTAATATAATTAAATTATGAAAAATGAGCTCTAAATTGTGTTGCAGGAATGAGGAGCTTGTATGAGGCCTTAAAGCTGTGATTGGAGCTACATTGAAGCAAGAAAGACCCCTAGGAGCTGAGAAAGCGAGAAGATGAGAAAAAGAATCGACCAAATGAAGGACTGGACTAGTGCGTCCACTAGCGTGACCGCTCTAGCCCAGATGGTCGAGGCAGAATGGTAGGCTACTAACACGGCCATTAGCGTGCCACGTGTGCGGCCGCGCTAGCCCAATTCCGAAAAATAATTCTCAGGGGTAAATTTGGAAGTCTAGGAGCAAATTCACTTAACCTATAATTCTCAGGGGTAAATTTGGAAGTCTGGGGGCAAATTCACTTAAACTATAGAAGGTCAAGCTCGCCCAAAAGGGGGGGGGTGTTCAGCTTTTGATAGCTGAGAGCAAGAAAAGGAAAGGCAAGAGGCAAGGAGGAGTATTCTACATCAAGCTCTTCTCCTCTTCCTTTTGTTTTTATGATTTGTAATGAATTTGATTATTGTGATGAACATCATTGTTATGAGTAGCTAACTCTTTTATCTAAGGTTTTGGGTGAACCCATTGCGGATGAACTTGTTGTTATATTAATATAGTTTTTGAGTTGGTTGTTAATCTCTATTTGTTCAACTACATTTTGATTTTGGTTAGTTGAAAGGATCCTCAATTAGTCGTTCCTATTTATTATGTATCTGCTTGAGAGAGAGTGCATATTTAGGTAATTGTTTGAACAACATCACTCCCGGAGTATAGGCGAGAGTCATAACCGAGGGTTTAGAGGTTGGAGTAGAGATAACGATACCTCGAGTGCGATCTAAGTGAGCTGTAATGCGAATCTAACTAGCATACCTTGAGAGAGTGCGTCTAGTAAATTATCATAATTACTTGAGAGAGAGTTATGATAGATGGAGAGTTCATGATCGATAGAGGCAACTAAATCGAAGCTATAAGAAACATACAACTAAGGAATTCAACAACGGGGGAAACCATGACCTTAGACCTTTATTCCAATTGTCTACAACTGCGTGTTAGTTAATCTTCGTTTATTAATTCTATTAGCTGTAGTAATGACCATAACACCACTTGTTATTCACAAAGTTTGAGAAGGTTGACTAATAAGAATTTAGTACTTTAAAGGATTATCTTGATTCGTTAATTCCTTGTGGGATTCGACATGGGGCATAATACCCCGGATTATATTTGCAACGCCCGCTTAGTCTTTTAATAGACACAGTTGGGCATGATCAAATTTTGGCGCTGTTGCCTGGGAATTAACTGTATTATCAATTACTATTGAGAGAAGTACAAAAATTCTTAATGTAGTTAGTTTTCTCTATACCCAATTTTTACATTGAAATTTTTAACGTTTGTCGACTTGGTTGCATAGGTGCATGCCTAGAAACTCATCGAGAACTGGTGAAGTATTTGAAGCATTATTAGATCCTAATAAAGTTTTCAAGGCCTTGAACCGGGCCAACCGAAAAAACAAACAACAACAAACAACTAACCCATTAGAAACAGCAATGGGAGATCACGAAGAACACCCAGCTGTACCAATAACTCCAATGGAACCTGTATCAATTTTACTCCCGCAGATACAAGGTGAATCATTCCAAATCATGAATAACATGATGTATTTGTTGCAAAACAAGGGACTATTTTCGGGGTCACAAGTCGAAGATCCTCAATAGCACTTGAAAATTTTTCTGTCAATCTGCAAAATCCAAAGGCAGCCCAATGTAACTCCGGAAGCAATCAAATTGCTATTATTCCCATTTTCAGTGACAGGAGCTGCCCACACATGGTTAAACTTACTCCACATAAATTCCATAACAACTTGGGAGGAGTTAGTGAGGAAATTCGTGAACAAGTTCCACCCCCCCCCAACAAAACCGCGCAATAGATTGATGACATTTTGAGTTTTAAACAGAGACCAACGGAAATATTGCATGAAACATGGGAGCGTTTTAAAGGGATGCTGGTCATATGTCTGCACCATGGCATTCCAGATTTGATGTTCGGATAGTGGTTCTACATAGGATTGTCAGATAGCGTGAAGAACATTGTTGATGCTTCAACTGGTGGAGCATTTTTGAGTAAAACATGGAGAGAAGGTCAAGGTCTGCTTGACAAGATGGCGCAGAATTCGGGATGGATAACCAGAAATGCACCTATCACTCCAGTGGTGCACTCAGTGCCTCTAGATCCATCCAATTCAATGGCTGAAAATATGGCCACCTTATTGACACAGATGAGCATACTCACCAAAAAAGTGGAAGAGTCACGGCAAAAACAGCAGGTACATATTGTAGATACTACTAATGGGGTCTTGTGCACATATTGCATTAGTCAACCAATTGGTAACCAGTGGAATGCAGAACACGATCATCAGCACTACCCTGAAGATATGAATTATGTGTCTAATTATGGAGGTCAGAGACAGGGTGGTCAGAGTTGGGGTCAGCAGAATCAACAGTACAGGCCATCCCCATCACAGTTCAACAGTGGGAATATGGGAGGTATGAGACCCCCCAATAATATAGCACATTACCCAAGGCCACAGGGATACAGTAATCAGAATCAACAACAGGGGTATCACCCTCCTCAACAGTAGTATAGTGGAAGGCAGGAAGATGGGTTTGCTAGACTTAAAGCAATGATGCAACAGGTTATTGTGTCTAATGCAAAGATTAGTGAGAGAGTAGATGCACATGATTCAACGATCAAGAATATTGAAATGCAGATGGGCCAAAATTCGATGTCTCTAAACAATCGCCCTCATGGAACACTACCTACAGATATCCAGGTAAATCCAAAAGATCAAGTCCCGAAGCAGTTGATGGCGGTGAGCCTACGTAATGGAAGTGATTTGGATATCGAGCAAGAAAGGGCTCGAGAAGCCAAGGAGGCTGAGACACTCATATCAGTGCCCATTGAGTTGGATGAATCAACGAAACTGACAGAGGTGACAGTCCATCCTGACCAGAAAGAAAGTAACATTCAAATGGAGACCGAGAAAGAAGCTAAGATAGCACAGGAACCAGTGGTTGATGTGGCAGCTGATAAAGATCGATCCCAAATGATTGGGAAGAAGAGACCTCATGCACCCTTCCCTCAGAGGCTAGCTAAGTACCAAAAAGAGGAGCAATACAAGAAGTTCTTGGAGATGCTAAAACAAATCCAGGTAAATATTCCCTTAATTGATGCTTTGAAAGAGATGCTTGGGTATGCAAAAATGATGAAGGACTTAGTGTCCCGAAAATTTAATTTCCAAGATTTGGCCACAGTTACTCTTACTCAAACCTGTAGTGCAGTGGTGACTAGACCAATTGCGGAAAAGTTGTCTGACCTAGGGAGCTTTACAATCCCATGCACTATTGGTGATTTTGCCTTTGCTAAAGCACTGTGTGATCTAGGGGCCAACATTAATCTTATGCCCCTAGCAATTTATAAGAGGCTGGGCATTGAAAGAGCTAGACCCACCTCTAAGTTGTTGCAGCTGGCTGACAGGACGGTAAAGCGACCCTCTAGTATTCTGGATGATGTGTTGATTCAGGTAGGAAAATTTGTGTTCCCTGCAGATTTTGTAATCTTAGACTGTAAAGTGGATGAAGAGATTTCCATAATTTTGGGAAGACCATTCCTGTCCATGGGTAGAGCTTTAGTTGATTGTGAAACTGGGGAGTTAAAGATGAGGTTAAATGATGAAGAGATAACATTCAACGTGCATAAATCTATGAGGCAACCAAGTGAATTCGCCAATTGCTCTCTTATTGATGTCGTGGATGTAATCGTAGAGACTGATGATGAATTGCTGACTATTGAAGACCCCCTCGCTGCGTGCCTAATGAATTTAGATGAGTTAAAGGGATAAGAACTGGCTGGATGGGTGATGGAATTAGAGGGTAGAGGGTTCTGGGATAGAAATCTTGAATTTGAGCCCTTGCACTTGGAAAACAGAGAAACTCCTCCAGCCAAGCCATCAATCGAAGAACCACCAAAGCTAGAGTTAAAGCCATTGCCAGCCTATCTCAGGTATGAGTTTCTTGGACCTGACTCCACATTACCTATTATTATCTCATCTAGTTTGTTAGATGTGCAGGCTCAACAACTTCTGCAGGTAATCAAGGAGTGTAAAACTACCATTAGATGGACCATGACAGACATAAAAGGGATCAGCCCCGCATACTGTATGCACAAAATTCTACTGGAAGAGGGACACAAACCTTCCAGGGAACACCAAAGAAAGTTGAACCCCAATATGAAGGAAGTAGTGAAGAAAGAAGTGATCAAGTGGTTAGATGCGGGAATCATTTTCCCAATTTCTGACAGTAGCTGGGTTAGCCCAGTTCAATGTGTACCTAAAAAGGGTGGCATAACGGTAGTTAAGAATGATAACAACGAATTGATCTCTACAAGAACTGTCACAGGCTGGAGAATTTGCATGGATTATAGAAAGCTAAATCTAGCCACCCGGAAGGACCACTTCCTACTACCTTTCATCGATCAGATGTTAGATAGATTGGCAAGGAGGTCACACTTCTGTTTTCTGGATGGATACTCGGGGTACAACCAGATTTCTATTGCCCCGGAGGATAGGGAAAAGACTTCATTTACTTGCCCTTACGGAGTGTTTACCTTCAGGAGAATGCCATTTGGCATTTGTAATGTGCCTGCAACATTCCAACGGTGCATGATGGCCATTTTCACAGACATGGTGGAAGACATTATAAGGTCTTCATGGACGACTTCTCAGTGGTGGGAAATTTGTTCGATGAATGCCTAGCAAATTTAACCAGTTTACTGAAGAGGTGCATCGAGACGAATCTAGTGTTGAATTAGGAAAAGTGCCATTTCATGGTACAAGAAGGAATCTTCTTGGGGCACTTAGTGTTGAGTAAAGGGATTAAGGTAGATAGAGCCAAAGTCGACGTGATAGAAAAACTTCCACCTCCCACATCAGTCAAGGCTATTCGTAGCTTCCTGGGACACACCGGCTTCTACCGGTGATTCATCAAGGACTTTTCCAAGATTACCAATCCCCTCTGTAAGTTGCTCGAAAAAGATAACCCATTTGTGTTTTCTGATGATTGCAGGGTGGCTTTTGAGGAACTAAAGAAGCGGCTAGTCACATCACCGATTATAGTTGCTCCCAACTGGGAGCAACCGTTTGAACTCATGTGTGATGCTAGTGACTACGCTATGGGAGCCGTGTTGCGATAGCATAAGGATAAGGTAATGAACCCTATTTACTATGCAAGTAGGACACTGAGTGGAGCTCAGCTGAATTACACGGTAACTAAAAAAGAAATATTGGCTATTGTGTTCGCCTTTGATAAGTTCAGATCTTACTCGATCGGGTCGAAGGTGATCGTGTACACAGATCACGCAGCCATTCGGTATTTAGTTGATAAAAAAGAGTCCAAGCCGAGCCTAATTCGTTGGGTGCTGCTTCTGCAAGAGTTTGACTTGGAGATTCGTGACCGTAAGGGCACGAAGAACCAAGTCGTTGATCATTTGTCACGCCTTGAAGGTGCTGAAAATGCAACTGAGTCTGAGGATATTCTGGAAACCTTTCCAGACGAGCAGCTGCTAGCCACAAGTGTGGAAGATGTGCCATGGTATGCTGATATTGCAAACTATTTGGCCTGCGGCATTGAACCATATGAACTCTCCTATGTTCAAAAGAAATGATTTTATCGTGACTGCCAAAACTACTACTGGGATGAACCGCATTTGTTTAAAATTTGCATTGATAACATGATCCGGAGATACGTCCCCGAGATAGAACAATGTTCTATTTTGCAGGATTGTCACGCGTCACCTTATGGAGGACATTTTGGAGGATTTCGGACAGCAGCGAAGGTGTTAGAGGTCGGGTTTTACTGGCCAACAATCTTTAAGGATGCTCACTAATGGGTAAAGGGCTGCAACGAATGCCAAAGAACGGGAAACATATCCCGTAGACATGAGATGCCAATGAATCCAATTCAGCAAGTTGAGGTGTTCGATGTCTGTGGAATTGATTTCATGGGTCCCTTCGTCAGTTCTTACGGCAATAAGTACATACTTGTTGCGGTAGATTATGTATCCAAATGGGTGAAAGCTGCAGCATTCCCCACCAATGATTCGAGAGTGGTGGTGGGGTTCTTGAAGAAGAATATATTCACCTGATTCGGGATTCCGAGATCCATCATTAGTGACGGGGGCACACACTTTTGCAATCGTGTCTTTGATAAGTTGCTGGCTAAATATGACGTGCACCACAAGGTGGCGACTCCGTATCACCCTCAAACAAGCGGGCAGGTAGAGGTCTCAAACCATGAGATCAAAAGTGTGCTTACTAAAACTGTAAACGCCACAAGAACTGATTGGGCGAAACAGCTTGACGATGCACTCTGGGCCTATAGGACTGCATTCAAAACACCTATTGGTATGTCACCATACAAGTTGGTATTTGGGAAGGCCTGTCACCTGCCTATGGAGCTAGAACATCGAGCTTGGTGGGCACTAAAGCAATTGAAGATGAACCCTGACGAGGCTAGAGAAAATCGACTGAAAAAGTTGCATGAGTTGGAGGAATTCAGATATCACGCCTTTGAAAGCACGAGACTCTACAAGGAAAGAATGAAGAGGCTGCATGACAAACACATTGTGGAAAGAAATTTCAAACCCGGAGACAAGGTATTATTGTACAATTCAAGGTTGAGATTGTTTCCTGGTAAGCTTAAGTCCTGATGGTCTGGGCCGTTCAGGGTGACCGAAGTGTTCCCGTCTGGGCTGTAGAGATAACCAGTGAAGATAGCACTAACACCTTCAAGGTTAACTGACAACGACTCAAACTGTATGTGGGGATAGATATAACGAAAGAGTTATCTGTCATACTTCTCGTTGAACCACAAAGGTCGAGCGAGCCTTAAATGTGCTTGATCTACGTCGTGCCACGACGTTAACTAAGGCGCTGGTCGGGAGGCAACCCGACGGTAGTAGTAGTGGTTAATTGTGAGTTTTTGAAAATACGAACCAATGCAGGTGACAATGGGCGGGTGATAAGGCAATGGAAAATGAAAAAATCAGGTGAAAAGTGTAAAAAAATTCGAAGCCCAGTAGCGCGGCCGCACTACTAGCGCGATCGCGCTAAGACCGCGCTAATTTGGCAAAACATTTTACCTGGACTGCGCTACTGACCGTGCTACTAGTGCGATCGCGCTAGTGGCTGCGCTAGTGAACGCGCTAATTTGGCAAAACTTTCTGCCTTGGCCGCGCTAGACTAGCGCGATTGCACATTTGGCCGCGCTACAAAGGCATGATTTAAGCCCTTATAACTGACGATTTTTCACTTGTTCTAATTTTTTTATGATTCAATTTCCTCTTTTTCTTTAGTCTAAATTACCTCCCCCCTCCCCCATCTAATAACCCACATCTAACAACCCCCCCACCAAACCACACGCCCTAAAAACTTCAGAAACCCTCCCCAATCTCTCACAACTCAATTTCTTTTCTTCTTCAGCTCCCCTCTTCCAGAAATTTTTCATCTCTTTCAAGTTTCTCTAAGTCTCCAAAAACATTCCCCTTTAAACCTCTTCTCTACTCCTCACTCTCACTACAGGTATGTTACTCTTGTTTTAATTTTCTTTCTTTGTTTTCACATAATCTCTGTAGATTTTTGTGTGTTTAAGTGTGCTTTATTTTATATGGTTATTTTTTTATTTATTAGTAGTAGATTTAGTAATAATTATTGTAGTATTTGTGGGTGGTGCAAATTATAGAGTGTTGTTTTACTTGAATTGTGACCTTTGGAAGATTTGGTGGTGGGTTCATGTTGTAAATTGCTTTGAATGGGTTGTGAGTACCTAGTGCCCCCAAGGTGTTTGTAAAAAGGCCTTAATGAGTGTAATTATATAATTGTGACCACGTATGCGTATGAAGTCTGAGTAACCGCAGTGCGTCACAATTTTTGGTGTTGGGAGGTACTTATTTGTTCCCGTTTTTCAGGCACCATGGCTCCATCGAAGAAACGCCGCACCACCGGTACATCTTCTAGCAGACAAGCCAGCTCATCCAGGACACGCAGGGCTACCCCTGAATGCCCTTTTGATAATAACAAATTTGTCTCGGCTAAAGCCCAGGACCGCTTTGCTAAGAAGGCTTCTAAAAAGCCAATTCCTGAGAGGGGTATTGACGTCCGATCGCTCCAGCGAAATTGCCCTCACATGTACGATGAGCTGATGAGAAGGGGGATACAAACATTCATTAATGAGCCCGGTAAGGGTAATGTAATGGTTGTGAGGGAATTTTACGCCAACGCGCCTGAGCATGACAATGGCATCATCATAGTACGACGGAAAGCGATGAATGCCTCTGTTGAGGCGATAAGGACGGCATACCAGCTACCCCCTTCTGTGATTGATTATGATGACTTTTATGAGTATGGCCGTAACCCAACACAAGAAAAGTGGCAGCGATTCTTTGAAACAATCTGTGCACTGGGGAAAGATGTGGTTTGGATGCAATATGATGAGAAGTTTCACTCCTCCGCACTCACTTTTGAAGAAAAATGCTAGCTGTATCTCATCAACAACCGTTTGATTCCATCCCACAATACTACAGAGGTAAATGGGCCTAGAGCTGCTTTGATTCTGTGCTTCGTCAATGGACACAACTTCAACGTGGCTAAAGTAATATATGTTGAGATGTTCATTCACAGCCGAATAAAAAGGTATGGATTCTTCTTCCCTTCTTTAATAACTCAGCTTTGCAGGGATGCTCGAGTGCCCGAAAATCTAGCTGCGGATGGGCTCGTTAAAAAGGACCGTAAGTTCCGAGCGGACAAAGTAACCACGGGTAAGGAGCCAGCAGCAGCAAAGAAAGAGAGTAGTGGTAGCTCTGACGACTCAGACGACGAGGATGAAGAAGCAGAGAATGTGAGGGCCGAACCCCAGGCCCCATAGCACGCTGTAGAAGTTGCAGTACCATCTAGGGCATCCACATCTTCACAGCCACGCAGGAGCACCCGCATGACCAATTTGGAACAAGAGATGGCTGGGTTACGTACTTCAGTCACAGATTTAGGTGCCCGTGTTGAGGTGGTGGCTGACAGGCAGGTGAAGTCTGAAAAAAAGTTCTTGGGCTGGTTGAGAGCTCTGGGACGTGCGTGCAACGTGAACCCAGACACCATCTCCGACCAGGAGTGAGCCTTCAGGGAAGTACCTCTACCTCACTATTCTTTTAATTTTTAAAGCCATGGGGACATGTCTTCAATATAAGTGTGGGCTAGAGATACTTCATTGTATATATGTAATTGTAACCTTTGACTAGTTGATTTTGGTTGGTTTTGTTTTGTTTTGATTGTTTTGGTTGTTTAGCTTTGATTGCTTTGGTGTTAAGTAAGAGTTAATTAGTTTAAAGTAGGTAAGTAGCTTGGACTAAGTCGAACAAAAAAAAATGAAAATGAAAACTCTTCCTGGTGACGGATCCTTTAGATAATTTTCTTGAGGGAAGTTAGTATAAAAAAAATACAAAAATATTTTTTATTTTCTTTTTAGGTAGTGTAGTAACTCCCCCTTGGTTATTCTTTGGGCCACGGTTCTTTTCCAAGGGTTTAGCTTGAACCGGGTATAGGTAGTTTTTATTCATTTTGTTTTCTTGTTAGTTTTTAAATTAGGATTAATAGGTTAAGGCGCTGAATTCGAAAAGAAAAGCCTCTAGCGTTATTACACCTGAACACAATAGACACCAGAGTGTAACGCTTATTCTCAGTAGTTGATTCTTGCTAAAGTGCCTTAAATTGTATATTTGTCACTGACTTGAATACTCAGAAGAGAGTGTCTTGATAAGCCAATCTTGAATGAGTCATGTGTCATATGTGTGGGTTTTACGGTATTCCATGATTCACATTTGATGCCTAGAACTTGCCCTGCGTGTTTGCAACGCGAAATAGTAGTTTCATTCAGTCTTAGAAGTGATATAGGCAATTCCTTGTTGAGCCAGACTTATAAAGTAAACCCACCTAACTGCAATACATCTTAGTTAACCTCGTTGAACCTATAAGCCTATTTCTTTGGCAACCACATTGCAAACCTTACCCAATTGTTTGAATAGCCTGTTGTTTGAACCCTCTTTCCTCACATAAGTACTTGAATGGTATTGAGAATTATGCAAAGGCAAAAGTGTGGGGTGGGGTTTGGTTTTTGAGTGGAACCACTGAAATCGGGAAAAAAAAG